CTATTTTAAATAACTATACAATCCTCTACTTACCACTTGTAGCACATCAGATTAATCTGATAAGAATAAAATGTGAAGCATGACTCTTGTCAATGTTATCACTCTCGATCCAAACATCTTACTTTCCTCTAGTAGATCTTGTATGTGTATCAAATTTCATTCAGTGAAAAATTTGTTTATCATTATTACTTTTACTCATCTTGAATTAGATGCTTCCATTTGTCTTATATCAAACGTCTTTTATTAGTCCACTCTTCATAGACGTATAATTATCTAGAATTAAACAAAAAATACCAATCTTCTTTACCACTTATGATGATTGTTTGTTTGTTTGTTTAGATTGATCAAATGTGACAGATTTTCAACATCCAAATATGAATTATGTTTGTATCCTGTTACCTTGAGAGTAACATCTATGTTTACATTAAAGAACCTCAGTAAGAACAATAGTGAGGTTATCCAAGAAAAAATCGATGGATTCTTTCTACATCAAATGGTTGAAGATTGAATGCTATTTTGATTCTAAATTCCAAAATTTTATATTTTTAAATTATTTTGTATGAATTCAAAATTATAAACAATATCATTTTTTGTGCATGTCATTTGACTGGTAAAACTATTTTTAAAACAAATAATATTTTTTAATTTAATATATTATATTTACATTATTCTTGCTAAGATACATGTCTTCAATAAGAAAAACCAATGCTTATTATTAATATTAAGTAATTACATTACACATCTTCATTAACTTGCTTCTTAGATATTGATGTATACCAAACTTATAAAATTTATTAAAGTTTCAGTTTGATGCATAACATAAATTTGTTCATGATCATTTTTATTATAGTTTTTATAAAATGTTATAATTATAATTTTTATATATAAAAAATATTTCACTTACACAATCAAATAAGTATTAACCTGTGTAATTTTTCTTTAAATATATTTTCAACTCACGTGTATTAAACAGAAGTTGCAAATTCAAATATTCTACTACAGTAAAACCCCCGATAAGTTATAGCCTCGGTGGAAGGGGATTTTGATAACTTACGGGAGGTTATAAGTTTTGGGAGGTATGTACCGTAGCCAATCAGCCAACCCTAAACCCTAAGTGCATTTTGACTATGTACGTCATCTAGGCAGTGTAATATTAGAAGCTCGCTCCTCGCACTCCCTCGCCCTTCTACCCCTCTTCCCAATTCTTCGTTCTCAGCTCTTCGCCCCTTCACTCAGCTTTTCTTCGCACTCCTTGCTCATCTACTATTTTCATCGGCAGCAGCATGGCACCACGCTTCACCTATGAGCAACGCCTTCAAATTTCTAAATATAAGGAAGCCAACATTTTGTTGTCGCATGCAGAAGTTGCAGCATGGACCAAGGGAAAATTTGGGCTTACAACGGCACCATCGCAAGTCATCATTAGCAAGATTCTAAAGAAGAAGCATGATTATGAGCTAATGGATGAATACGAGCTTCACGCGAAAAGGCCGAGAACCGTGAATTTTCCCGATCTTGAAGAAGCACTTTCACTCTGGGTCCTGCAGTGCCAGCATCGGAATGTCTTCATTACGTACGATCTCATCAAAGCGCAAGGTCAACGATTTGCAAAAATACTTAAAATACTTGAAGGCATCATCAAATTTTCAAATGGATGGCTGTATAAGTTCCTGTTCCGCAACAAACTAAAGAGCTTTAAAATCCATGGTGAAGCCGGATCAGTCGATGATGATGCGATCGAAGCGGCAATGCCAGCATTACGGGCCCGTATCGCTGCCTTCAATCCGGAAGATGTCTACAATATGGACGAAACGGGCCTTTTTTATAGTATGGTGCCAGATACGACAATTGTCCAACAACGTATTGCTGGTTCTAAAAGGACAAAACCAAGATCATTCTCGCACTCACTGCAAATTCCAATGGGTCTCACAAACTGCCGTCATTTTTCATTGGACACGCCCAGAAACCTCGTTGCTTCAATCGCAAAACTAGCGAACAGCTTGGATTTTATTACTAAGCAAAAAAAAAAGCCTGGATGACTGGGATGTTTTTCCAAGAGTGGTTAAAGCGCTTTGATGCAGAGATGCGTGCCGCAAATCGCCACATCTTGCTGTTGATGGACAATGCACATTCACATATCACTGATGAGTGACAAACTCCAAATGTTGAAGTATGCCCACTGCCGCCAAACACGACGTCAAAGATTCAGCCCATGGACACCGAGATTATCGCTGCTTTCAAGAGACATTACCAACGCTTCCACTTGCAAAATGCATTGGATCGTGATGAGAAGAATGAGGTCAACCTCTACAAAGTTGATCAACTTACCGCAATGAGGTGGTGCCTCGCATCATGAAACGAAATATCGCAGCAGACAATCGAGAACTGCTTTCGCCGCACAGGATTGTTCGAGGCTGTAGAAGACGACCGTCGGGCGTTTTTAGAAGAGGAGCAGGTCGAGGAAGAGCTCACGGATGCTCTACACAGGTTACCTTTGCGGGATCCAATGTCAATTGCATCGCTGTTGAATCCGATCGAGGAAAGCGGTGTGGAGCATATGTTTCTGAATGACGAGGAGATCGCGAACCTTGTCACTGGCCAGGAGAATAACCCATCCATTGGAGACCCTGAGGAGGAGGAACCAGCACAACTTACACGTGCTGAAAAGCTAAAAGGGTTATCCGTGGTGATTTCAATGTTAAATCCAGCGGATCCTGTGGAGCACCAAGTACATTGACAGCTACGTAGAATCCAAAGTACCATTCGATTCGAAAATCTCCAACAAGCGACGCTCGATGGCTGGCTTAAGCAGTAATAAAAAACCTCTAAAAAGTTATTTTGGTCATTGAGTACATAACTTATGCTTTATAACTTAGTCCCCATAGAACGATGTTTGTTCCGTAAATTTTTGATAACTTACGAGGGGTTATAACTTAGCGGGGGCTTTACTGTAAGTTTGTTTGTTTTACCGGGTACCTGAAATTGTAAAGTCCTAAAATTTTAGACCAACGGAACCATAGGCACTTAGTGTGGATAACCTGTTCGGGCGAGATGGAATGGGTTTATGGGTCTCATCCAGGTTAATCCTAGGGTTAACCCGCACTTCAACCCGTATCCTATCTCCCATAGCTCTTGGACCAATGATTCCAATAAGAAAATCATATAGAAAAAAATAATAAGAAAAAAATCAGAGACGAAGTGTCTCTGATTGGTTGAACATTCTATATTGGAAGTAGTTGCTACTCATCCAAGACCCTCTATTACCCTTCATGTATCAATTAGATAATTCTACATAGAGAATGAGGGCTATTTAGCACTAAGTGAGCCATAATTACACTCTCCGCGAAATTATTGTACACAAAGCCTATTCTCAACTTGTTAATTGCATGTCAATCAATTATATGTTTGATGTAAAATCAAGAAGAAACAAAAGTAGTGTGATTGTAAATCCACGGCTGTAAGTATACAATGCGTCACATTAATATTATCATATGCATTAGCAATTTCAACTTCGAGGTCCCATCAAAGAATAAAGCGGGGAAAGGACTCATTTCAAGTTTCAACCCTGAAGTTGACTAAGTTTGTCCTGCAGTTCAGTTTTCCGATGGTTCTACTTTCATTTAACGAATAAAATCTCATTAGAAGACAAATGTCTGCATATGAGGAATTGTACATTGCATACAGTAAGTATACAATAAATCCCTTCATAACCTGATTCTCACGAGTTTGCCATATTTACATTCTACCGACATAATTTCCCAGGATGAAATTGATGGCATGAAACATAACGTTTGGTTTTCCTAAATATAGTTTTCAGTGCACGGTCGTCGGTGGAGTAATCTATTCACATACAAACAGCAACGATTACCATCCATGGGTTCGTGCGAGAGTACTGGCAAGTCTAATGTGAACCGGGAAGGAAGATAAAACAAGGAGAGTATGGAAGGGAGTCAACATGGATGCAACTTAGACATAAGATGATTTGCTCAGGTTTCGCCGCTGGATAAGAGACGGGGAAGGTACAGAGGCTAAAATCAGTATATGCGTAGAAGCAAAACTTGCAACCTGCATAATGTCAACTATACAAGCCCTCTTAGTCTCATATACGAACGTCTCATCATATTGATGCATTCGGACGCAGGTTATAATATAATATTTTCAGCAATTTGTACTCAATCATTGGTTTGAAGAGACTAAAAGATAATATTGTAAAAATGGAAAGCGGGAACGAATAAAATATGAAGGATGATGTATTAGTGTGTTAGGGTGAAAACAATGCAGTGCTTTTGTATAATGGCTCTAAATTTATGAATTGTCACGACTTAAAAAATATTATGGAAATCCATGGAAGGCCCTGAACAGACAGTCGCGCATTTGTTCCATGCGTCTCCCTTCTCACTTAATCAAAGCTGCCCACCCAGTATTCCCCGTAGTACAGTACGCATGAGAAGAATAAGGAGGTCGACGAAGGAAGACGTTCCTCCGTTCAACGATGCAGGTGGGAACCGAGAGAGGAAGGCAGGGTACGGAGTACGATGGACAATGCTGTTGACAAAGAACGTGGTAATGACGTGGTCGCGGTGCACAGTCGCGGTTCAGTGGAGGCAGATTCGGCACCGGGCCACGAAGGGGGAAGTCGGGAACATGAACATATCTAGAATTCTATCTACGACTCCGAGCTGAACGGCCAATAGGCACACCAACGCTGGCAAGAAGCGGTAGCAGCGGTTCATTCGCTGTGGCATATCCCTCGGACGTCGCATGCGTCATCCCCGGAGACTTGCCTCCGTGCGTCAATCGCAGTCCGGCTCGTCGACGCCGCAAAGTTGGTAGAGACGGCAGCAAGCCGTCGATCGTCATCGAGGCCCCACGCCGCGGCACTGCGGCCGCTGCCGCATCAGCGGTGGTCTGCGCCGCAGGGGGTAGAAGACGTTCTGCCGCGAATCTGGACTCTCGAAAGATCTGCGCTGCTCAGTTTGAGTTTGGCCAACCCTGTGGAGGAGAGGATTGCTCAACGAGGCGTCCAGAGCACACGCCACCGGCACACGCGACAATTTCCCGTACTCAGAGGAGCAGCGAGAGGCGGATAGAATCGTAGTGTCGAGGAATCGTGTCGAGGAATTGTTTCTGGTTCGAGGTTGCACGAGGCCGAGGAAGAGAAGAGGGCAATTTCGACGGTGTGTGGGAGCAGAGCGAGAAATAAAGACGGAAGAGCGAAGGTCGGAGGAAGAGAACTGGGAGCAGCTCTAGGATTATGACTTCCGTGGCGTTGCCATTTGGAGGAGCAGCCGCGGCCACAGCCATAGCTGGTGCGAAATCATCGAGATGCAACAGCGATGGTAAGGGCGTGGAAGGAGCCAATGGATGCTCCAGGTTGGGGTTCCTCCGCGGTGCAGGATTGGGCTCTGCTGCTGGATTTGAAGCCAGGCTGCATTCTGGACCGTGGGCTGGCAACAGGAAATTCGCGGCCGGTGTTGTGGGAGTGAGATGCGATGCAGCTCCTGGAAAGGATGGAAGTGATGCGGCTGTGATGGACAGGCCCCCTGCAGTTGTTAAGACCACCAGTTCCAGTGATGACACCGTACAGGAGTTTCTGAAAAGGGATTACAAATGGGGCTTTGTTTCAAATATCGAGTCGGACTCCATTCCCAAGGGTTTGTCCGAAGATACAGTGCGGTTTATCTCTGCGAAGAAGAAAGAACCAGAGTGGATGCTGCAATTTCGCTTGTCTGCTTTTAGGCAGTGGCTGAAGATGAAGGAGCCGACCTGGTCAGACAACCGATATCCGACTATCGATTTTCAAGATATTTGCTACTATTCGGAACCCAAGCAAAAAGAGAAGAAGGCCAGTCTTGACGAAGTCGATCCAGATCTTCTAGAAACGTTCGAGAAGCTAGGAATTCCGATCACAGAGCAAAAGCGACTCGCGAATGTTGCTGTGGATGCAGTGTTCGACAGTGTTTCCATTGCCACCACTCACAGGAAAACTCTCATGGCCTCGGGTGTAATTTTTTGTTCTATCTCAGAGGCTATCCGGGAATACCCTGATCTTATTAAAAAGTACCTAGGAAAGGTCGTGCCTGTCGCTGACAATTACTACGCTGCACTGAACTCCGCCGTGTTCAGTGATGGTTCCTTCTGCTACATCCCCAAAGATACTGTGTCACCCATGGAGATTTCAACATACTTTCGAATCAATGCTATGGAAACTGGCCAATTTGAGCGAACGCTGATAATCGCCGACGACCGGAGTTTTGTGAGCTACTTAGAGGGGTGTACTGCACCATCGTACGACAAGAATCAGCTGCATGCGGCTGTGGTGGAGCTTTACTGTGGGGAAGGTGCAGAAATTAAGTACTCCACTGTCCAAAATTGGTACGCGGGAAACGAGCAGGGTGTTGGAGGAATCTACAACTTTGTCACTAAGAGGGGTTTGTGCGACGGCAAGAGCTCTAAGATATCCTGGACCCAAGTTGAAACTGGGTCAGCAATCACATGGAAGTATCCTAGTGTAGTTTTGAAGGGCGATAACTCAGTTGGGGAGTTTTACTCCGTTGCTTTGACGAACAACATGCAACAGGCTGATACAGGGACGAAGATGATCCATGTGGGCAAGAACACAAAGAGCCGTATTGTCTCGAAGGGAATATCTGCAGGTCGTTCTGTAAATTGTTACAGAGGTCTGGTACAGGTCCAGCCAACTGCTCACAATGCCAGGAACTTTTCTCAGTGTGATTCTATGCTGATTGGAGACGAAGCTGGAGCGAACACTTACCCTTACATCCAGGTATGTTTCTCCCTGTGGTGTCGGTACTGCCTATAGACTCTGCACGAGACATTCGTGCTCGTTACTTCTTAATGAACCTAATGTTTTAGTTATAACACTCACCAGCATCTGAGAAGCAGTCATTGGCACCACTCGTCAGTTTTTACCCTTGTTGTCTCATCCTCGTCCACCAGTTAGAGTAATCTCTTTTCGTGTAATTCAATTTGACTAGGAGAACGTCGCGCGGTCTGTGATCTCGTTCCAGGAAACCAACTTAACGAGCATTTGTGTGCAATACGTGATTCTCAGGTGAAGGATCCTACGGCGCGAGTGGAACACGAAGCAAGTACTTCAAAAATTGGCGAAGACCAACTTTTTTACTTCCAGCAAAGAGGAATTGACGCGGAGAAGGCAGTTGCAGCTATAATTGGTGGCTTCTGCAGGGATGTGTTTAATGAATTGCCTTTGGAGTTTGCTGCCGAAGTGAACCAGCTTATGAGCTTGAAACTGGAAGGCAGTGTAGGATAAGCTGCTTGCAGTACCATGTATCATTGTCCTCTTCGAACTTTTGATTTCTGTACTGATATATTATGTACATTTGAGATGCAATAGTGAAACATAGATTATTTAGGAGTTGTAGGTTCCCACCAACACTGTACCAACATTTTAACAATTACCGGTTGGGAAATGCACGTGACAACCTGCATGGTGGTCAAGGAAATTCTGTAAAATTCCCTAGGTTTGTTGAAGGCCCGCCCAGCCATTTTGAAGCAGATTAGAAACAGGTGATACTTAATCTACTCGAAAGGCCGGGAGCAACCAGGTGAACTTAGTTTCTTACAGGGTTGTCTAAGACTAGAAATTTCCAGTGTATTCAATGACAATTTACGGAGAAGAGATGGCAAGCTCTTTTTCTGCTCTGTCGCCCTGTATCATTTTCCGGTACTAAAGCACTTGACCTCGAGGTAGCTGGAGCTATTCACGTTTCGAGTGGTGACTATGTACTGGAAGAATTTGTTGAGGAAAGAAAGAGTTCTTTGAAAGTACATACAGCTCTTAGATTAAACCATCGGGTGGTAATAAGAGTAATATTGGGAGTACCAGGAATTGTTTGGTTGAATATCGATTGGATTTGAAGGGTTTGATTGATGCCTCTCATGAAAACCTACCAAAGCGGTTACTTTCCACAGAGGGGATGTTGATATTACCCCCTCCATCCTGAAGAAGGGATGGAGTGCATCCGTGACATTCTCGCTTGGCACCTGTAAATTTGGATCTCTTATTGAGAGTAGTGTTGTGAGACCTGTGGTGGATTGTTGTTGATTTTCCAGTTGATCGAAGAACAGATGAAGTGTAAGTTTGATTAAGAAGTGCGCTATGTGATGCTTGAAATGAAAAGTCCCTTCATCTGCCAAAAGGCGATGTAGGTGTGATTGGCTTAATGGATTTCATTCATCCGTCGAGGAAGCGAGTAGTGATCGAAAGGGTGACGACAGAAGGCCTCACTTGAAAGAGTTGGGAGCGTTGGGCTCGGGTGGACAGAACTTCCCCTTATTACATTAGTCGTTCGATCATCGATGTCGTACCTTTGTGAATCGTGCTATGCACTACACATATCTGATGTATCTGTGTAGATTCAGTTGGAGTCTACTAACCTCATCGTTGTTTCTTTCTACTGAAGTGAAACAACGATGTGTACATATGGATATGAGTGAAACGATAACTTGCATGGTCTTTGTGTTGCATGAGGCTATGAAGTTTATACCATAGCACAGCCAACTACGTACTCATATAATTTTGAAAGCTGATGAAGTAGGGAAAATCTCACTTTTTTGTATACACATACGACCATCCGGTTGATCTTCTAACAAAGCTACTGCCACGACACAAATTTAAGAAACATTGACATTTAATTGGTATGCAATCATTGGCAGAATTACATGAGCTTTGTTAGTGGGTTTGCTAATCTAGTCGTTCACAATTGCTGCCAACTGTGTATTGAAATATTTTCCAAAGGAGTGAACACAAATCTTCATCGTGCACTAAATTCGCTTTGATACGAAGATGTGAGATATATAAATGAACAGTTTTATTAATTCAGCGCAACACTTATTAATTGCACACTAATACACAACGAGGGAGTAGAAAAATTTATATAAATCAAACTAAACTAAATCTTGTTGTATATTAATGTGCAACTTCTAAGTGTTGCACACTAAGAAGTATGCGCTGAAACCGGTAAACCTATTGAGTTTTATATTTTACACCATCATATCAAAGCGAGGGTAGTGAATGATGATGATTTGCATCTACTACTTCGAAGCAAATTTCCATGCAAAGTTGACAGCAAAAGTAAAAGACTAGCAAACCTCATGTGATTCCGCCAATGATCACATACAAATTAAGTGTAGATGTTTGTTATATTTGTGTTGTGGCAAGAACTATACTAAAAAATCAACTGGATTGTCATTTTTGTGTATGCAATCAAATGCAATTTCTCCCATTTTAAGACGGAGTTGTCGGATTTGAAACTCTAGAAGAGGGGTTTAAGGTTTAGCATGTATCCAACATGTATTTGCAAAGCCGATGATCAAACTTTCATTGAAATTTCTCAACATTACAAATTGTGTGAAACAATGCTTTATTATTGATTTGATCAAATTTTCAAAAATAGTTGAAAAATATTTTTTTGTTGTGATTTTGAAGCTACGCCTTCACGTCAAGTTCATTTTTGTAAGCGTTCAACAACTTTTTGTTCTTTGATTTGATTGATGTATTTTGATGATCAATGTGTCTAAAATGCATTCAACCTATCCAAAATGTCACTTATAAATTTTTACTTCGGAAACTTGATAGTGTTGACAAAGCATAAATTTTGACGTTTCAGGCTTACTAGCATTATTATTTAAATCGCGCTTTGCCTAATCATATGCGCTTATGTTACAATTGACAAAGCAGAATGTATAATTTTCTTGATAGTATCGCGCAAATCTAGCGGTACATGAATCTTGATTATCATTATGATCACAAATCAAATCAAACAAATTTATTGCCTTTAACAACATGAGCTTTAATTTTTCATCTTCTACTTCATTGAAGAAGTATTTATGTTTTGAACGAATATGGCTTTAGCCGCATATATTTATCATAAACTTGTCTAGTTTAATACATGGTTGAAAAATTATCATGTCGAGTGTCTCATTATCTTGAATGTGATTTGAATGATTATAAAAAGCAAATCAAAAAATGCAACAATGATCAACTACTTATGGACGATGCATGAAGCATTTTTTCTATATGTGTAGATAAATTTGTCGTTGGTTCCCTAAAATCCATTTGAATAGATTACCAAGTGCGTATTATCGCGTCTTGTTGTATCTTGGAAACATTTTAATCCTTCTATATTGTACATCATGTTGACTTGCAATCACAAGTAAAATAAAATTGTATGAATTTTTTTTGTAAAAACTGACACCTTCAACGTTGTTGTTCGTTCGCTTGACGACAAGATCTAATCATTTCAATCGCCAATAGCAATCTAATCTGATCTAATCATTCCTAAAGCTGATAGAAATGGTTTTGTTAATCCATGTTGGGTTAAGCACATTCAATAACATGTTGATCAACGTATTGTAGTTCACCGCAATATGATGATACTAAAATAATAACAGTAGTTCATGCAAGTTCATTAACATATTGTTAACACATACTCAAATTTATAGATGTGACAACAAAAATCCTTATTGTGTTGAACAATAAGCAATTAACGAGAACATTCACGTGAACTACTTGCACAATATTGCCAAAATTAGTTGTAATGAAATGGCAAGCATGACTTGTCAACCATATGTTTGGATATCTTGATCAATTTGACGTTTTAAGTATAATCGAGATGTTGGGTAATGACAATAGCAGTCTGGCTAAACAACATATCCACTTTTGTATGATTAATAGACAACCAAAATTACAATGGATTGTTGAATGATATAATTGATAACTTTTTCATTCATTTTCTAGTTTGAACAACTTCATTGTGTTTGTTTTTGAGATCGGTTTCATTTTATCTTTGTTTACTCCAAGTTTGGCTTTAAGAATAAATTGGCAACAAAATCATTGATTATTTTCACATTGGGGATTTTGAAAGTAATAACCTCCGATTCACAATCCATATTCAAATATATTCCACTATTCAGCTTTTTAGTACAAGATTATTCTTCTTGTACTCAAGAGACAAATGCTAATATGCTTCTCAATTGTTTTCATGTTGCGTCTTAAGATGTTTTGTTTATAGCTCATATTAAAACGGGGATGAAATAAATGAATGTTTTTTATGCTCTTTAATGAGCATCTTTTCAATTATTTCTTCCATTTTGAGTATGCAAAATTAACATTGGATAGTTTTCACCTTCTTGTTGCGAGAATAATACTTTGCAATTGGCTGTATTGAATCTTATATACCTTATCAAATAATATTTCACGTAACATCAAACTATTGAAACATGTAGCAATCTCACACACTATTATTCTTTTAGTCCATCATGCACTGATACATGATATATGATAGTCACTATACTAGATGATGATAGTCACTATACATGATATATATCATTCGAGATTGAATTCAACTCATCTTTGTTCTCATTCAATAATGGAAGTAAGAACAAAATGCCAACAAAACAATCGCATGTTTTCATGTTAGTATTTTTGAAAATGAACGATTTTGATTCAGGACTATTGTTGGCATAAAACATGAATCGCACAATCGTCGCAATCACTTTCTAGGTAGGTCACACACTTAGTATACTTTATGAAGTGCGTGCAAATTTTTTTAAAATTTGCATAGTCAAGCCTCAATTGCAGCTGCAATCGCTTTCTAAATCTGTCACACAGTTAATAAACTTCACGCTGTGAAAAAAGCTTTCTGGCGCACGGGGGAGGTTTTGACAAAAAAAAAGAATAAACTTCAATGCTTTTAATTATCCTGGTTTTCGTTTGGTACAAAATTATTCACTTTTTTAATATTGAATTAAGTTTGAAGATATCTGTTTTTCATTTATTAGCTATTTTTTTACTTGCATGGTTTTTGGGCATTTTTTTTGAAAAGAGCTTTTATGAATCTTATTGGTTTCAAAAGTGTCTTTTTTAATGTCTTAATTTCGAAAATTATGATTGTCGGTCCTAACCACTTTCGTGTAAATTTTTTAAAATTTGCACGCACAAACCTCAATTAGAGCCAAAGAGTGACTTGAGAAGGAGTCTTAATTGTGGCATTAGCCTAATTTTAATTGTGGCAAAGGTGACATTTATTAATAAAATGACACTTTTAATGAGGCTTGGAGGAGAGTGTTTTTCTTGGGAGGTTATGTTGTAAGACTAGGTAGATTTTAACTGAGTAGACTCGCTAAAAGACTTGGTTTAGAATAACATAGTTATATTTCCATGTTTTTTAGTGCTTAAACCCAGGTTTGAATATATCAGGTTGATTATAGGTTTAGTTACTCCACTCCATTTTGTATCAGCTTGCAACTTCTTAGTGTTGCAATGAATCAATAAATCTTTCAATGTTAAATTTCACAAAAGTATTGACAGCATATGATATGACTGAATCAATGGCCTCACAAAGCTCTACAAGTCATAACTTGTAGAGCTTGCAGGGATGACCAGCAGACCAAAAAGCTGTTGTTCGACAGCTCCAAAATAGCAGTACGATCCAACGATTCTTATTGGGCAACGATTAAGTTGCCCAATATTCTACTAAGCAGAAAGAAAAGAAAGACGAGTGTAACCAGCGGTTGAGGAATTTTCCAGCTGCACTACTCCCATCATATTATAAGAAAAGAAGAAGAGGGCCAAGCTATATAGCAAAGAGTGTGGTAAGACTCCATCAAAGAATTTCATCATAAGGTGTGATTTGTGTTGCCAAAACTTCTAACCTGCTGTAGATGTGGAGTGTGAGGGACCTAAAAAAAAGAGTTGTTACCATGAAATGAAAGAGGAGGGGCAAAGGTTGGGGCAATTCGAATTACGCGAATGGACTTTGCGGCAAAGTCCATTCGCGTAATTCGAGGAGGGCATTCGATGCTGCAGACAAGCCAGTCCCATGGGATGGTAAGCAATGCTCTCCAGCTGTATCCACGAGGTTTTAGAAGCTGGCGGAGAATTCTTTCATCGACAAAGCTGAAAATTCGGTGCCAAATTTGGGTTAAAGAGTACTACTAATCGCCACGTCGAGCGTACTTTCATGCAGTCAGTCAGTAATCATGATTGCAATGCATGCATCTGCAGGAATCCAGAAGATCTGGATCTAGAGAAGGAACAAGGCATTGCATAGAAGTATAATCACGACATCGTCATCATCATCATGCAACCTTGCGCTGCAGATGGATATCAGACACCCACAGTCGACGCACGCACGATCAAGTAGTGCTGTCCTCTCTACATAGACCTCACTATTGCCCATGATATTCGCCAACATTCGAATTGTAGCCAAGTCGCTGAATATCTGCTGATGATTGTTGTACCACCGCAACACAAATCCGCCATTCTCGTAGATTCAAGAACAATGTTCGCCCAAAGCATCTCGCTCGGTTTCCGGGGCTCCACGCTATACAGTGTCGTGTGAAGATGGAATGTCAGACGACGGAGACGGGATCGCGCTTCCTTGATATCATGAAAGAAAAAAAAACCAAATAAGAAGAAGGGGCCTAGAATAATGCGAATATTCTCAATACTCCCAAAATGTATTCTAAACATTTCATAGTGAGAACTAAGTTGTAAATTTATTTGAATTATCAAGATGAAACAATATACTCTAAAAAAATATGAGAATCTCATGAGTGTATAAAAGTTTATTTATTTTCTTAATTATAACAACGAAAATGGTCATTTCACAAATACATATAGTTTTTTTTTAAATTTTATTTATGACAAGTATGTTCTTATTATCATATGTAAAACACGAATATTTTATATTCTATAAAACGATGAAAAACTATTGGTCACAAAAATAGTAAAATTATTTACTTTTTTTATTCATTTTAACCATCACTCACATGTTGCAACTTCATTCTATGTACCTCCGTCTAAAACTCGAACTTTGCTCGAAATCACGTCCCTGAAATGAGACGAATGTTTGACACAGTGAAGTATGCGGCCTGTCCATCAGAACCGATCACATTAATCCTCCAAATATCTGCTTCTGCTTGGGAAATGAACCTACGCCCAGATGTCATATAATGCGCTACCTTGTACCAGCCACCATAGAAACTCATTCTTGACTATTGGTACAACGTCATGATGATGAAGTAATCGAGTTCTACCATACGAAGAGTGATTTTCCAATATTTTATTGTATTCCTTCTGTGCTTTCTTTGTTGTATGTAGGATGGTTTAGAGCAGCACGCTGTGACGGACCTCACTGCGGGCAAACATCATATCCTCCGAAGTTCCATCAAGATACCATCATGGCGAAAGTAGTTTGCACCTGACTGCTACTATCAACATTGGAGGCGGCTTGTGCTCCTTCTCTGAGTTACAGCTTCTGTACCGAAGGTCGCAATCTTAAGAGGACATGGCTGGCATGATATTGTATCCTTGCCAACTTAAACATATTGTATCCAGCCTGATCTGCATTTCCCACAAGTTCAAGTTGAAATTGAATGCTTACACATCATACATCATTTGCAAGATCATATTTGTTCCTTTTCCCCCACTTTTAGAAGAATTTGAACCAAAACATGTACGAAGCCATCCATATGCTCGAACAAGTATTTTTGAGACCATGACGTAGACATTTCAAATCAATCACCATACCCTCATAGCAGGTGTAATTTGATACCTTTCAAAACCCTTATCGTAAATACTAAAAAACTTGTAGATGTCAATGATGTGATCAGTGTCACGCATGTGATGTTGTACATATTTATATTTAAGTTCTTGCTCTCTAGCCTGACTTTCTTCCGAGCTTCTTGAAATCCGGAAGGTCTATTTAACGCACATCATCTCTCTTTCGAGCGCCTAGTGTAGACAGTGAATTTGATAAGAGAAATTGCATGGCCTTGTATTCCTGAACTTCCGAAAGATGGGGCTTGGTGACCTTATCATTAATATCAAAAACGATTTTGATAATATCAGGAACAAACATCAATGTAAGAGTTTTTGAGAGTTCTAAGATCGTTCTGAAAGGGTTACTTATTTCTCTCACGATTGATGTTTCATTTAACCAATGAAACATTCCCTCAGCGTCTCAGACCGTTGAATATTCCTCTTCAAAATATCTTACAGTCTCTAGAATTCAAACACTATGAAGCTTGAGAGTTTCATAATTAGAAGTATACATGACTCCCCATTTTTTATAACGACCGATATTTTTTACCATCTCCGTCTGCTTGTCATCTGAAATATCCGCACTATTTATGTATCGTTGAGATGAAATTCCAAAAGCATTTTGATTAGATACTTTGCATCTTGGAGTTGTTCTACACATCATCGTCAACTGTTTGCGACTCATCTTTAGACTTAGGCTGATAAATATGGCTGACACTGTGCACTGATGCGAGGCCCTACAATGTTATTTTTACTACTAGGGTACATGATGAAAAAGCATGTTATCTAGCATGATACGGCGAGAGATATAGGTTTACTCTGTCTATAATCCTCAATTCGTGTAGCAAATTGTGATGAACGCGTGGATGTATCTGTACAACATATGCACAGAAATTACATGAGCAAATGAGACGATTGGCTGTTATTAGCTCAGTTCGAAAAAATGATATGAGGCTGGTTACCTACACGACTGTATCAACTAGATTCGTGTACTCATATCGTTACGAGTTATATACAAGCGTGGCCGCGAAGGGCTTTTGAAATCAAGCATGGAGTGCACTTGAGGAGAACCAAGGGATGGCTCTTACTTCTTCCGAGCGTTTACGACGTCTTCTTACAACGCCCACCCCATTGAATCAAGTGTTCGGTGATTTGCTACAATTCATACGCGTCTAAGATCCTGTACCGAACTCTTCCACGGTGTACACATCCATAATGGCAGGGCCCTTCAAAAGATTACGGGATTATATTGGAACCTTGTACTCCCTTGATTCGGAAGAAAACACAAAAAAATACCTGCGGCAGTATTTTCCTTCGTGCGTCACAATTTGAGAACTGGACATAAATCGCTACCTCAGGAGGCGTCTTGCAACAATGTTCATGTTAAATTCAAGCTGGTTTTAAATACACCGCGATCAGAGATAAAGAGACCGCTGATCTTCAACTGGTTCAAAACACCTCCACCATAACAACCATCTAATTACATTTAATTTCAACCGTCATCAAGCAAAGCACCTCAGGCACTAAGCGTTATTTATTGACACGATACCGTGGGACAAGAAGTCAAGTCTCTGCTGATTGTGATATCTAACCAAAAAATGCAGATGGGTCGACAACTTGAATCGCCACAACATGCGAAAAAACTGCGCTCATTTTCGCACATGCTTTTCAACATTTCTAAAACGCAGTACATGTCCAACTTCAGTGAGGCATACTCCAAACGCTGAAGTGCAGGAGGATTTACTTAAACACAAGACGAGAGTTTCCTCACTGAATAACAAAATTCTAGTAGAGAACGAATCCAGTAAGAGTCAGATGGATTATATGGTTCCATGAGAAGGCGCTTACAACAGCAACGCCGAATACTTAGCTGAAACCCCTTGCTATGCGGGGGATATTTCAACAATAGCTAACAGCAAAAGTTCGCTGCATTGAAGGGCCAGAAAAGTACGAAGATTACTCGCACTGTGTGCAGGAGGATGACCAGTCGCTTAAGATCTATCACAACGACAGGCTCGACTGTACAATTTCACGTCTTAAGCAACAAATCAATATCGTCAGCTCTATCGAAGACTGGCTTGAATGTACAAATTCACATCTCAGGTAGCAACTGGGTAAGTTATTAGACTATAGTACAAATGACAAGTGCTGCGTAAAACAAAAGGAGGACCACTAAACTTTAGGACAGCTGCCTGTATGGGTGGGTTCTAAAAGTGGGCTGAGCAAGGTCGATAACTTTGAACTTGGGGACTAGAGGATCGATGGAAGTTCTAGCCATCTATTTCTTCAATACTTGGACGCATCACTGCTCGTCTTTCACTTTAGAGGGCCACAGAGTTGGCCTCACAGACGTTGCCTCGACACAGTGGGCATACCCTGCACAAAAGATAAGGTCAATATGTTAACAAGATGAGATGACCCTAAACCTGTTCGAGCGACCGCAACTGAAGAATCCTATCGAAAATTTAAGTTTCCATGACCACTGAAGACTAACATGGACAGGCGATACATGCAAAACGGCTGAGCGGAAGTCTGAACGGTCATTCCTACGAGAATAAGTAAGGTTTCCGAGAACAATTGGAGACCCAAAAAGACCATGGTAACAACAATGTTCTTAGGATGAGATAAATACCTGTGGACTTCTTTGAGCCATTTGTCAACGCAAGCTACGTGATACTCGTGATGGCAAGGCAAAACTCTCACGTTGTCGCCTTCTTCATACTCCACAAGACAAATATTACACCTGTTCCGAGCACAGAGTTAGTGATGCAAACAGAAGCAAACTTGATACACAACGAACAATAATTGTATCGATTAGGGTTTTATTCTCTATTGTAACCCATTATTCCTTGCGGGTGCGGAAGATGTGTCCACAAAATAGTCACGGCTTCAAAGAAAGATCACTTACTGGGTTGCTTCTTCACGCAGTTTCTTTGAAATTTTTCGGGTTGGAATCGCATTGACAACTGTATCGGGGGCGGGTAGTGATGCAATTGGTACTGAAGTTCTTGATAGAGCAATAGACTGGCGATGAATTTCGTCCAACACCTTCAGTGATTCCAAGTTAAAAACTGGTGAGCGATTAACAATCCATTTGCAAATCGTCAAACTTTCGCTAAAGGAAGATAGACTACACATCCGACTGTAACCGACAAGACACGTCATGAATTACATAGCAGGATCCTAGACTAAGTCCAAGATCTGCATTAAGGCATGGACGGCAGATGGAAAAACATATACCTCGAACAACGCTTCAGCAAGCATTATGATCCGAGATATGCTCGCCCTGGTACTCGTGTCTTCACCAGCACCCCCATGCACATCGCAAGAACAATGACCATGATGGTGTCCTCCAGAGACACAAGGACGGGTGAAACCAGGCATTCCCTCCAGCCCATTACTAAGTAACTGTAGAGCCCAGACCTGACGATATCGTACAAGGTTCAAAGTTCGTCAATACTCAGTGCCTACTGCGGCAATTTACTCAATATGAGACCTTTTTCTTTTAACTGCAAGAACAGGGACTCCAAGCAGATTGTATAATCATACAAAAAGTCACATTCATGTTCAGACATGGAGCAGAGATGTGGTCCTAGAGGATTTTTGACAGTCTTGAGGTTCAGAACAGAAAGCGGAAGTAAATTGCCTACAACGTTAAAGTCCGTCTCGGTAAAGATTCGACTTCCAATCTGAGGTTTGTAAAAAACTGCTAACCTTCGCAGTAAATAATTTTCGGTCTACTAAAAAGTGAAAACCGTAAGATTAAGCACTCTATCCAGGATATACATGGAAGGACGAAGGTTGACAAGCGGACAGATCTATGCTACAAAATACTCGTTGTCAAGAGTTAAGACGGCAAAAGTAAAGACATGACACATTTTCACCGAAAAACAAATTCAATAAAAGGACCTGACGGGTGCGAGAAACATCAGACATGTTCACAAGTCCTAAAACTCACCTGTGACCTGACCCGTCTCCTCCTTTCCTCTAGATCGAGACTCCTGCTTTGAAACCCACCAAAATCGATGTGATCATCTTCGTTCTGCATCCAGCTCTCGATGACGCTCTCAGATGTAGGGGCGGTCATAGGTGTAGAAGTTCGACGATGAGAGGCTGCTCTTGTCAAGGCATCCCACAACCTCCTTCCACCGTTTCGTCGAGATTCTCTGCCTGCAGTAGATATGGGGTTTGAGCTAGGCCCAGGGGGTGTGCTGGAACGCTCAGTGGATCCGCTATGGAGTTCAGACCTATGGAACGCCAAGTGTCTGTCACCCCAAGATTCAGAATTTGTGTAAACGGAGCGTCTGTATTCTATTAGCCTGCCTTCTTCTGTTATCTCCCAAGCTTGTAAAGAAGCCGGTGTCCGGAATGGAAACTCATCCCTTTCGCTCCCTGAAACGGATGAGCTGGCATCCCCAGTTTCGAGGTTGCTTTCTGTTCTGTGATCTTGCGCGCCAGATGATTCTGCAGAAAGCATGCCCCTCCTTTCTAGGTCGTAATAATCAAAAGACGAGGGTGGAAATCCAGCATATCTTCGAAGTCGTTCTTGCATTTCGTTTACACGATGCTGTTGTAGAGTAGTTTCACATACGGCCTGCAGATTTTGGCCTATCAAGCTAGGAGTCTCAGATGCACTACTTCCTAATGGTGAACTGAATCTTGAATTCCAAGGAGGATGGCCTTCCAACCACAGGTTGTGCGAGTCCAACCCTCCAGTGTTTCTAGCATGTCCACCTTCTACAATACCTGCAGAAGGAGTCTCCGAAACTTCACTCGGAAAAGCTTCAACCACCAAAACCGCACTAGCCCCTGCAGATTCGAGAGCCCTCGTGATTTCAACTTGTGCACCATAATGAGTGGTCGGTGCTGTTCTGCTACTGCTGCCCTCGGATGCTGACACAGTAGAGGCGAGCTGATCTACTGCGGGGTTTTCCAAGGATGTTAATTCTCCACTAGAAGAACTGTTTTTTAGTGTACCTGATCCGCTCGATGTGCTTGCAAGTGGAATAAAGGCGGGAACTTCTGGTTGTCTCGCAGATCTGAGTCCACTACGAATTCGACGCTGAGACTCCCTCCGAGGTTGAGACTGCCCAAAAGCACTTATCAATTCAATAAACTAGAAAACTCCGAATTCGAACTCATCATAATGTTTCTAGTTTCACCCAACAAAACTCTCACCGAGTACTCAAACTCAAAAGAAACGGAGAACAGAGTGAGTCCATAAATCTCGTCGCCGAAATCAAACTTCTTATCATAGATGACTCGTTACTGAACACAGCTACGTCTCATGAATACAATTTCGAACTACATTTACCCAGAACGTTGAAGTAAAAGTGGCTTGCTGAGGTGGTGGGGTGAAATGACTACAGGCTTCAAAATCCTGAATCCGTAGGTTCATGTCTTTTGTAAGAATACAATCAAAGATAGACAGCTACTGCCTTCTTGAGAATCAAGACACCTAGTTTCCGTGAACGGATACACAGATTCACAAGATAGTTCGCCCTGGAAAGAAAAAGGAATACAATCCGTTCTCCGGGTCAGAGACACGGCCCAAGAGAGGTCCTGAGGCTGGAAAGTGAAGGGGTGACATAAACAGCCGCAAGCCGCCGGTATCAGTATATTCTCTGAAAACTCGACGTATATCGCTACTTCCTTCCTCAAAAGTATGTCCGAAATTTTCTTCAGGAGGTTCAGGAGTTTTCTTCGAGATCAAAACGAGGCAGTGAGGAGAGAACCCTTTTCTTTTACAAGCTCGACCCCATCAATTTCGCGTATACTGTAGGCAGAAGTCTCCAATTGTTGACCGTGGAGCAGCTTCGCATAATTTCACAATAATTCTTGGGATTAAGCCTAAACTCCTCGCCATGAGCAAGCCGTGCAAGAGCAAGCTTCTGCCATAGAGAACGCAGACATTCTCACCCGCATGAGAATCTCTAAATTACAAGGGTCACCTTCAATACGAAACATGCTGCAGCCTTCGGATTGACTGAACGTAAGAGGATCAACTGTAAGACTACATGTGGAAAGGAACTACCAGACTTATGTCGTAACCCGGCACCAAAGTAACGATCAGACACTCGGGCAGAAGGACCACAAAGATTCTTCCTGCTCATAGAACCATCGTTGAAACTTACGTCTCGAAAATAGTCCAAAAAGAAACACCATAGAACACTGTGCAAGAAAGACCCAGCTGACAGAGAAAAGAGGCATATCACATCCAGGTAGCGTTACCACTTTCTAATTACTTGCGTAACGTAGACTAAGGTCACGATTCCAGGAAGACTTTAGAAATACTGTCAGGAGTATCCAACCGAGAGTTGCTTTCAGTTGCGGGCTATCGACGGGTCTGTAAATATGACTATGACTTGTTAAGGAACCCGGTAACCTTTCAAATAGCAACCGCTGTCGACGATGTAGAAGAGGTGTTTGTAAGAGCACGCTTAAACAGCATATACTAGCATGTGAGACTGCTTCTGGCCACTGATGACTGAAAAGGGGCCCCTTTTGTCACGTTGATGAGTATCACAAAAGAAGCACATAACCACCGCTGGTAACTGGCCAAATTGATCATACTCAAGACAGACATCAGGCTCATAACAAAGGCACTGCGAACAAACCTCAGAGGTGCATCGGTCCAAAGCACCGGTAAAATTAAGGCCACCCGCACTACTGTCTCTTCTGGCAGCGGGGTAGTCTCCCCGATCCCGTCGCTCAGTAGCATCCGCAGCGTGTCGGCTACTGCTGGATCCCATTTCGCCTGTTCGCAATCGAATCCTGTGTGCAACCAAGCTAGGAGATTGCGATGCGAATTTTAACAACTCAATGGACTCGGCCTCCGGAAGCCCCAACTTCCCCCCTGCACCCGAAGAAGGCGAAATGTAGAAGAAAGCTCAAGAAGTAATCCCCTCTGCAACTAGAATTACAGTACACGCCGCAGAGAGCTCCCACGTGCGTGGCTGGGTCGTACGACCTTTTCTTGGCTCTCTTGCTAATTCCACCTTCGATCGCTCGATACCTTTAACTCCATTTGGCTACATCCGCATGTAACAGAGTAGCCCCGAGAGTTTCATTAAACCGCAAAAACACTTTCCACGGACCCGCCATCTCCCTCCGTTTCGTCGAACGAAGAGATTGCGCTGATGGGCTTCTCCTCGGACACAGGATTCAGGCGACGTACGTGCAGAGACGAGCACTGGAGCAGCGAGCACGGCACTGGACGACGAGGACGCGAGAACGATCAATCACACACGCACACGGAAAGGAAAGCAAGCACACCATGGTGTCGGGGCTGGAAGCGGAGGGAAGAAAGAGGAGAAGCTCCGCGAGGACATGAAAGAGGTAGGGCTCCCGAGGGAACAGAGGGAGCGAGGGAGCGAGGGAGGGGTGAAGGGAGAGGCCGAGCGCAGCGCATAGCACTAGCAGCAGAGCCGTGCGCAAGGACGACGAACTGCGAGAGAAGATGGCAATCGACGAGGCGGGCCCTACCACCTCCCGCGCCATGCCCCAGATCGACGACAGGCCAGACAGCCAGCACTGCCCAGCAGGCGCACGCTGCCCTCCCGTCCCCTGCCCGGCCCGCCCCGGCCCCGGCATTTGAGAATTACTTCCTCCTCTCCGTCGCTTTCCCGATTAACTTGAATCATTGCGTGGGGCAGTCGTCTCGTCTCTCGAACCTTACGGACGTCATCGCCGTCCGCAAGTTCGTAGTCACCCGAAAGGCGGCCAGTTATCTTCCTGTCGTACTCTCTGTAACTTTTTCTTCCCCTCCGTCGACGCCGTCCGTCATTTCGTCCGATCCATCTAACCGTCAGTGATTCCACCCCGGAGTTAAAAGACTTTTCCATCTCCTTTCATCCCACCAATATCCCAACGGGTTTCCACAGACCTGATACCGACTGTACACGGTAGACTCCGATCGTGCAAACAGATATCGTCATGGCAGGAACGCGAGGATAGGAACCTACTTTTAAAAACAGCTTCGAATTTCAAATTAAGACTCCATGGCCGAGGGGCCAAGGAAATAGCAAACAGGATGAACCTACTTTTATAAATAGATTCGAATTTCAAATTAAGATTTCATGAAGGGGCCAACTAAATTGCAATAACGACGGGAAGATAAAATGAAACGGTCACAAGCGGCTAGGCCAGAATAGTATCATAATAAGAAATATATCTACTAGAGGATCTATTTTATATCTGGTCGCCTAAAGTTTTCTTCAAACAATATAGCATTCAAAGAATTATCAATTATTATTTTAATTATCTAAAATTATTATAATCTAACGTGATGATCTTCAATGTACGATATATATTGTGGAGTTTTTTTTAAATATTTATTCAAATAATAAACACGATAAACTACAAAGATTGGCATCTATTTTAGTAAGCTCATCCTATATATAAATGAGATTTGGATTTTCATTTCTCAACAGAATAAAAATAATATTACTTTTTGAAATAAATTTACAATATCAGACTCACGGATTTTAATATCACAAATGTGCTTATCATATTTTTCTTCAACAATTTTACTAAACATTCCGATCAATTGAATCTTGTATTGCTTAACTATTTTAGGATTCAGTACTAAAGAAATTTCTAAACTCACTCCAAAATTAATTTCCTGTGAGTTTGTGTGATACATATATTATTGTTAATAAATTTGGAGTTTTTGTAACTTGAATTAATTTCGGGATATGTATCAATATCACATAATGAGTTCAAAATACAACAGTTGTGTTTAAACTTACAGCATGTCTTATGAATCGAATATCATAAAGGTAAACTTGTGACCTTCATACTCATATTGAAAAATCTTACTGGTATTTGATAACTAAACTAGATAGTATAATTATCAAAAATAGATGCAATGGATTTTCGACTCATGCATTTTAATATTATGAATATAATTTTTGAATCTACAACACATATTATTTTGTTAACAAATATAAACTTTGAAAGCACTAAATAGCATTATCAACAAAACAATCGGGTGAATTTCTTCTATTTTTTAATATAAAAATTATCATGAATGTATATTAAAAAATGTATTGCTTCATACATGAGTTTACTATACTACAAGAGTTAGATCTAAAGGGGATATTACAAAGAGTTGTGCTTATACATGTTCAAGTTGTGCTTGTGTGTGTGTAAGTTTACAACATTAGAACTTGTATAGAATCTTTTCTTAATTTGAAATGTTAATCATCATTAATAATGTTAACCTCATGTTTTATAATTATTTTGTTCTGTGTATCATATACGTAATATGTGTCTATACAGATCGTAATTTTAGTATTAAAAATCATCATTTTTTGTCTCGGATCTTACGTTTCATGATGTGGCAGAGAATGCCATGGTTCACGGTGTCGAATAATTTCTTAAAGTTGCCTGGTAGATTCCAATTAGTTTCTATGAAGTCGCTGCGTATGATTCATAGAGCCGAGTGTGCGCTACGCCGAGGTTCTTGCAAATTAAAATATTTTAATCAAATACTTAGATTTGACAATAAACAAACACAATAATAAGAAATTTGAAAAAATAAATTTAGATCCTAGACAATATACACCTCCATTTTAATCTTTTCAAACAGATGTTTTATAATATAGATCTGGACAAAATGAAAAATATAGTTACAACTGTTGTTTCAATTTTGATTAAAGTGAGCTAAAAAGTGCTGTTTGACTAATTTTAAAAATTACCAAATCTTCGATCTTATTGAACAAGAATGTTGTAATCAATAGTGTATAGTGCAATATTTTCCTATATATAAAAAAATACTAAATATAAGATAAATTTTTATTGCACTTTCAATTTATGATTTTAAGATAATATACAATTTTTTTAGTTAGACACAAAAAAACAAAAATACAATGATTTATTAATATCTTTTATATTAATTTTTTTGAAAATTCCTGACATTAAAATTGAAGTTCATAATTTTCAAATTTTTCCAACTCATTAATGATTTTTTTCATAATAAAAATTTATAATAATATAGATTACGCCTAAAATAAAATAATTTTTATTTTATTTAAAACATTGATAAAATTACATGCTTCATTTTGGATTTTGAAGGAGGTGAAATGTTGAACATTATTTTAATTAACATAATATGAAGATTTACTATTTTTTATAAATATTTTTTGCTTTGAATAATGGAATTTAATAAATTAATAAAATTAAATATGATATTTAATAATTTTTTTATTTGATAATTAGATTATTTGTAATAAATTAAAGAATGAAATCATCATATCAAGTAGGTTACTTGCAACTAGTAAGTATGGATAGTTAGTAGCATATAAAAAAAATCTTGAATAAAAAAAGTACTTATGTCTTATCAACTCTAATTTGGATGACTTTTATAATATCTTAAATTTATAGAATTTATATAGATAATATTTATTTTTTAGTACAATTTTGTATCAATGTGATTTTGGTTTGCAGTAATTTTTATATGTTCAATTTTTTACTCCAAAATTCTCTTTAAAATAAAATATCATATATTTATTCGACGAATCTACTAAAAAGTGACTGATAGATGTAAACTTATAGATATAAACATATATATCAAAAGAAGATAAATTGTGAATAGTTCCATAGTAAGTCAAGAAATCAAATGGGACGAATGTGATAGGCTTCTAAGACGTAAAGATATAATAATCCATGTGCGTTAACTCATATGATGAATTGTACTCACAGTAGATCGCATTCATTACAAGGCAAGAAATCCAAAAAAATATAGTTTAATTATGAATTCTTTTAAATCCTCTCAATTGAAGATTGATTGCTAACAAAATATACAAAAAGTATACACAAGTTGCTGCAACTGACATAGGATATCTATGATTCTATCCCTGGACCACTGCCACTTAACTCCACGGGAGGCTTCTCACCATCGATGAGAACCACTTTAAGGAGATATTTTTTCACGCATAAATGTTACCATGTCATGCAAGGTTCATTTCGTATGCGATAGCTCTCTCCCTACTCTGTGTCTTTTTCCCAAACAAAACAAAACCGAGAGGAGTGTAATCGCAGGGAGATCCTACCCTCCACGGAGGGCAAGGCTATTAGATTTGTCCGCTCCTAGAAGAATATTGTACACCAATCTCAAGGATTGCTGGTGTGCCCAGTGACTTTTGAGCCCTTATACAGAAGAATCAAATACGATCCCAACTGATTTGTCCTCCGTCTTGGCTGTATTTGATGCTGTTGGATAACAATCCCCATACAAGTAGGATAATGATTGTCCACGCACTTTTTCTCTTCTATTATTGTCAACACCCTTTATTCTGCATTCAACAATCATAATAAAATAAAATCTCTTAATAGGGCTGATCACTGGTTGGCAAGATTGAGATCGCTCGGGCTTCATTGATATGTTCATTCGCTTGGGATGTTACAGATTCTGTTAAAATCATACATGACCTAACTTAGGCATGATCTATTAATTCTGGTCTTCAAATTTCTGAAGAAACATGCTCTTCTCACCATTCTGTGGGACTCATGACGTCATGCCCGAAACCCAGCTCGAGTGCATGAACAATCGGACGAGTTTACCAGTATCTGCTGAGGATCGATTCAAACTTAACGCTGTTAGGTAGCATTTATTTGTAGACCGTATGTACAGGAGTCACGATTGAAGCACTTTGATGAGCTTTCTTCGATTACAAAGAAAAGAGGATGTTCAAGTTTAGGGTTTCCGTCACGAGGAGCTCCGAGCTTGTACTGCACCTTCCTGTAAAAGGTGCAGGAAGGGATTGATGCCAAAGTGGTCAAAATGTCATGGATAGAAATTAGGTGTGCCGGATGAGCTAAGCTCCATATAACCAGAATCTTTCACTACGTAAACTCCAAGATTTAACAACCGACTCTACAATCCACGCGTTTGTCTAGATGCTTATGTCACTTCTAAATGTATCACGATGTGTTAGCGCGGTGCGTGTAGGCACAAAATGCGGAGATCTGAAGAAGTCTTCTCCTGCTGTATCTTTCGAGGACTGTGCCGGTGCCTGGAAAATACATATGCACCAACGTCGATACACTTCTATTGTTTGTCATACTTTTTCACTCGTATCTCTTGATCTTAATCTTTTCTCACGATTATCGAGACCCATGCCTCTCTTAGCGACGCGAGTCAATTAAAAATTTGGAGTGGTCAGGAAAAAAAGAAAGAGCACGGTTTATATTTTTTTAGAATTTATTATTAGCTTAAATTATCTATATATTTTATACTTATTGTATATTAAAATTCTTATAATGACTTCGTGCATTACATCATAGATAAGCACAACTGAGTATATTAAAAGACTATATGAAACTGGATAAACCCGGAAGATCCGGGTTTGCATAATCACATACAAGGTAGAATCATAACGAGAATCACTATCTTGAGCTTTTCTGACATCAGTATGACCGAAATCCAGTTGCTGAGTGCTGTTGAGACTACGAGGGAGATAGACATACTATTGGAATGACATGTAGACCTTGAAAACGCATACCATCCATA